AATTATTTAATTATGAGAGTTGTAGGACATTGTTTCTTTGTATGTGTAATTGTTCTGTGTTCTTAAATGCATTATTTAAGTAAATAAATATGATTTAGTGTACTAGTACCCTTATTATAAAAAAGTAGGCTTAAATTTCATCAGCAACCATTAGCAAAAAAGAGGTCAAAGATATATTGTACATTTGGAGATGATGAAGTGCTTCTGACTGTAGTGGTTGACTAAATATAGACTGTAGTCTTAGTTTCTGTTCAGTAGTAACTTCTAATTTCTGTCAGAACAAGTTTTTTCAAAGGCGTAATGAATCTCACTGTTCCCAGTACATTTCTGGCTTTGGGCTATATGTAATGAATGTTTTCTAGAAATGTTGTTCTGCACTGTTCTTGATCCATTGAATAATTGGTTTTAGACTTGTATCTTTTGCATAAAGGTATTTCTATTGAGTGTTGGACTACATTCATTCATTCATCATCATTTGTGGATGTCCCATCTTGGACTCTAACACACTTTACATTTGTTATCCTTACTATTTTGTGCTTACCTTTTTCTTCACAGTGTTTATATTAGCATTTCCTTGGTTCTGTATAAAGCAATGTACAGTATTAAAGTTTTACTCCTAAAGTTCTTGAAGTCATCTTACACTCTGTCCTTCTAGATTGTGACAATTTACCAGCTACATTAATACTACATTACATGCCCAAAGTGTAAACTTTTATCCATATAAGGCAAAAGATAGAAATGACTCGGGACTTAAAAAATTAGCTCTTTCTGAGTTGTAGAATACCTTCTTTCTGCATCATTTATTTTCTTTTTATAATAGACAGTTGTACTTGTAATAACACCACTTCAACTGGAATATCACTGTAATCTATATCAAATGTGAGTTGGAATGCTAGTATGTAGAAGTAGTGGTTAATTCTTTCTTTGGTTTGTTGAATGCTTGTTCACAATCATTAGTTCAACAAAATTTATTTGGTTTTTTAAGTAATCTGTGCAGAAGATGAGTTATATCAGAGAGTGATCTTTATAGTAAGAGTATAGTTCAAGAAAGAAATCCCCTTATCTCTCACAAGTTCTGTGTTGTTGGCCAATTCAGAACAGTTTCAATCTTAGTTGGGACTGTAGACACTTCTTCTCCACTGACTAGGTGTCCCATGAAAGGCATCTGTTGATGGAACAATGCATACTTCTTGGGGTTCACCTTAAGATTTTCTTTCCATAACTTATCTAGTACTTTCCTTAGCCCATCACAAACATCACCAAAGGTCTTTCCATGACTTATTGTGTCATCCAAGTAGATGTGAACAACATTCCAGGTGCATTACATGATTCAACTGGTATAACATGGCACATTGTCACAACCCATTTCTCTCCAATAAAGGCTTTTTTTCTGTACTTTTTTTTGTCAGCTTGTGCTTGCCAATACGCTCTCTTCAAATCCAATGTTGAAAACCGTTTTGATTCAGACAAAGCACCCAAAGTAAGCTATCCTCGTTGGTGGGAGGCATCCTTCTTTATGACTTCATTTACTTCTGGTCATCCATGCAGAACCTTCTGGATTCATCCTCCTTCTTCACAAGTACAGGTTATTTTATGGCTTCTGATCTCTTTGAGAGCCTCAGCCTGTTTTGCAACTGAGAATCTTCAGGGAAACTGACCTGTTGCCAAGGCTACACCACCTGTAATGATCTTATAGGATATTTTATTTGTCTGGCTAAAGGGAGGAGGTCCACTGGAGAAGGTATCTTGGTGTTCCATGATTAAATCATGTAATCTATGGCATTGAGCAGCTGTAAGAGAGCCACTGTTATGACTATACATCTTTTATAAGTGTAGTGGTAAGCTGTCTTTATGTAAGAATTTGATATGAGACTTCCTACATCTTGTCTTGAAGGTGACTGCAGCTTCTAACTTGCAATGTTCATACTTAATTTACTAAATATCATAGTTTGTTGTGCTCATGGCCCTAATAATAATATCCTTATTCTTCATACACTTGAGAGTTCTTCCAACAAATAATCCCTCAGTATATGCTGGGTTGATTGTTCTAATATGTCCTCATCACTGGATTTAAATTTATTCCTAGTAAGTCTTGGTATGAGTATTCCAGTTCTTTGTGGCACATTAAATGCCCTCCATGTTGTCACTGGAAGTTCAATCTCTGGTGCTGTAATCATTATGTAGTGCATAGGGATTTCCATGTCAAAGACTGAAACTATTTAAAGCAAATTTAACTTCACATCCGTATTTCTGCTTGTGATTTGACCTCAAAATGCACTCTTCCTCATTGTTAGTTGCTGAACTTAAGTATAGCTTATTTTTGTTTTTCGATGTCTGGTTAGCTCTTTGTTGTGACTTTGATCTGGTTAGGCTCTGGGACTTATCCTTAGAGTATTGTTTCTTTGATTTATTATCATTTGTTGATTCCTCACAGTCTCGTCTTTGATGGATATGTTTTTCACCTAAAAACAGTTTGTTACTTTAACATCCTTTGGAAAGATATTTTTTATATTTTCTACAGACTTTTGTCTGCAGTTCCTGGCAATATTTCATTTTAAGCTACAATTGAAACACCTTTTGTCTTTTGGTTTACTTCTTCTGTTTTGGGTAATAGTTCATCTAATTTATCCTTTTAGTTAATCAGATGGAGTCAATGCTTCCATACTATTTTACTTGATGATCCCATAACTTTTGGATGATGCCTTTAGTTGTTTTTCTAAGACATTTTTGGATCCATGTTCCATTACAAACTGGAGAACTTCTTTTTAAAATCTTAATCTACTTTTATTTAACATAATATGCATAACATTATCCACTACAGCATCTATGAATTGGTCATTTGCCAATGAAACCAGCATTCCATGTAGAGCATCTGGATAAAATAATTGGGCAAACCTCTTCAAATCTTCTGCAAGTTAGGTGGAGGTCTTTTTCCTTACCCTGCTCCTAAAATTTGCTTTAGAAGTTTAATTCTGTTTTGTCACTCTAAATCTGTTTCATAAGTCAGCCACCAATGACTGATAGGTGTTATAGTTATCAGCTGGAAGATTGCTTAATGTTGTTAAAACTTATCATTTTAAATATGCAGCAAATGAATAAGTTTTTGTTCACTATTCCATCCATTCGTTTTGAAAATTATTTCAAATTGAGCCTGATATGTCTCTTATTGTAGCTCTCCATCAAAGTCTGTTGGTTTCTCAATTTTGAGGATGTTGTTGAACTGGCCTGCTAAATTTTCTAACTGTTGTAGTAGTTCAGAAAGGTCCTGTAGTCATAGATTGAATAGCAGTAGTGGTAACAATTGTAGACCAAATGGGTTCTCCCATTCCATATTTCAAGGTCTTTAAGAATAGGAAGAGAGGTGTGGATGATTTGATCCTCGATTTTCTTAATTCGTTTGTCATGATGTTTTATTCTATTACTAGTGGTTTTTTCTATCAAGTTAGTTTTGCTGTTATGCTTTTTCTGCACTATACAGATGCTTCTTTATACTTCATTGTTATCTTTTTGTACTTTTTTACATATCATTTTGTACTTGATCAGTTTTGCTATTACAGTCTTTCAGCACTTTATTGATGCTTTTTTTTTACTACCTCAGTTTTGCTGCTATAATCTTCCTTGCAAATTTCCATTAGTTTCTTCAATCTTGTCTTCAATTTAATTTATTTTTGTTCTTAATTCCCCTCTAAATGTTAGGCCTCTTTCTTTTAGCTTATCTATTAAATTTGTCCCTCTTGCTCCTGATCTTTTAATTTTCTATAACTTCCTTTTTGGTATTTCTTTAATTTTCTGTTTTTTTCCCTCTAATTTTCTACCTCTCCTTGATTTGCTTTCAGTGCTCCAAAATTGTGATTTCATATTAAATCTATCCACTCAGTAAATTTCTAGGTGTCACATATTTTTACTACATCATGACAAAAACTCCTTCTAGGAAACAATAAAACATATAAATTAAACTATTAAAAACATAGCCTACAATAGTAGGATCGTGCAACAAAGCCTGATCATTAATGTGAATGCAACTTGATCTAATTGCTGCCTATCTGTAATTTAAACAACTTTTAAGACTTTTCCTCTAGGTCATTTGTAATCTTTAATTTAAGCAGTCTAGCTACAGAAGTGTTATATAGATAATAAAATGAACACATACAGCAGAAAAAAGTGGCAAACAAATGAAAAATATACAAAACCTTTATTCATAATAAAAAAATGATGGATTCTTTACCAATACTGGTTGATTTCTGTATTTAGTATTGAAATGTGTGGAGCTGGAGAGATTTCTTACATTTGCACAGGTCAAAAGCCAGAGCAAGAATAATGATAATATTACACTGTTAGATTATATCAGGATTATTTTGCAGTAGCCCATAATTCTTAGATCAAATACATTAGTAGTTATTCCTATTACATATATTCAAAGGAGATAAACCCCAATTCATACTAACTTGTACAAATTTCTGTACCACCACCTGAAATTATGATGGTTTTATAGATCAATCATTATGATATGTAATCCTTGTCGAAGTTAAAGTATAAATGCTTCTGGTTAAAAAGATGTCACTTAACCATGTGTGGAACATATATATATGCACAAAAATATATAAAAAAAAGATCTGATTATATGTTAATAAGGATATATTTTGTACTAATTATATTATGGAAGCATAAACTTTTGACTAACTTCACAACCATCACAAGCCTGTCCAGGTAACATCTTGCACGTAAACATTAAACTCTTATTTATGTCTTCAAACATCTGCTAATTTTCCAGAAAAATTTACTGTCCATGAGAAAAGTAGAATGTCAGTGTATGAAATTCATTTTAACAGACTAAATAACAAGTATATGCATGATTTGGTTTATGTGAAATACAAAGAGCAAAACATTATCAACATTTTCTCCTCACATTGATGTGGGTATTTAGGCATTATTGTAATTTTACATCTTCAGGATGTATTGCGTTTACAAGAAAAACAATGCTTTGTTTGTATGTATTTCAGGTGGAGAAAATCAGTTCCTTTAAAGATTGTTTTCAGAAAATGGAGAGAAGACTGATGAACTTTAAATGGTGCATTGAAACAGTTTTTAGTTATTAATGATACAAAATATTTCTTTGAGCTTTCTTTTACATTGAAAAAATACATTACTGTTATAGTTATTTAAGGTTATACAAATAAGTCTAAACAAATCTTTCCATTTGTTTAAACAATTGTTGTCAACTTTATAATCTGAATGGACTTGAAATGTGTTTGTTTATGCATCTGCAGTAACCCATACTTATTTGCAGATTATGGTGTTTTTATTTATTAATACTGAATGACTCTAAGGTTGCCATTTGTGAACCTTAATTTATAAATACTTCACTGTTAGTGGATCCAAAAAATTAGGTCACTAGTCTCAGAGTGACTTGGCTTACTATCCTGACTACTCCTGCTGAAAAGTAGAACTGATTCAAGATAAAATTTAGTTGAATGGGCAGCAACTACTTGTTGTAAAAACACAAGTATAGAGAATGACATTTTGAAAGTCTGAAGATGAAAGGAGGAAGACTTTCAAAACATTTTCTTTAATACTTGTATTTTTACAATAGGCAGTTGCCACCCATTCAACTAAATTTTATTAACAAATATTTCAAAAACAAAGAATTATTCAGGATAACCTGAAGATACAATGGTTTCAAGCATCCTTATTGGGTGTTTCATGCAGAATGTTTATAAAAGGTGAAAAATCATATTAATTTATTGTATTAAAACATACAAAAGGTTTTAAAACAGTTGAAATCATTTGTATAACAAATTAGTTTCTAGTGAGAAGTCTCAATGTTAAGTAAGTGAATGGGATAATTTTGACTAATCTGTAATTTAGTATAGGTTACTTTGGATGTACCTTTAAGAAGGTTAATCCAGCTTTTGCAATGCTTTTATATTTTTCAGTATATAATCTTGACTAATATCTTGTTTAGTATAGGTTACTTTAGATCAACTTATGAATGTACCTTTAAGAAGGTTAATCCAGCTTTTGCAATGCTTTTATATTTTTAGTATATAATCTTGACTAATATCTTGTTTAGTATAGGTTACTTTAGATCAACTTATGAATGTACCATTAAGAAGGTTAATCCAGCTTTTGCAATGCTATTATATTTTTAGTATATAATCTTGACTAATATCTTGTTTAGTATAGGTTACTTTAGATCAACTTATGAATGTACCTTTAAGAAGGTTAATCCAGCTTTATGCAATGGTTTTATATTTTTAGTATATAATCTTGACTAATATCTTGTTTCGTATAAGTTACTTTAGATCAACTTATGAATATACCTTTAAGAAGGTTAATCCAATTTATGCAATGCTTTTATATTTTTAGTATTCAAAAGAAGCAAAATTGTCATATTTATATAATTTTTTTTATAAGGAATTGTTAAATTTACACTTCTATTTGTAAACTACACGTAAATGGAATATGAAAAGGAAGGAGGCTTAAAACTATTTGTTTACAAATTACGTTATCAATTCTCCTTTCTGACAGTTAATACATGAGGGTAAGCAACTCTTAATTTAAGAGTGATTTGATGTAAATGAATTAGAACAACCTAGATAATCTGCAACCCTTTGGTTCCACTAGAGGGCTATACTATGGAAAACAAATTATAAATCATAATTAGTGATAAATGTATTGCTACCATTATCGTGTTGAAAAATTATACAGCCTATAACTAGTGATCTTAGCCTATTTTACTTATTAGTTTTCGGTACTTATTTAGCTGTGAAATCAGCACTTCTAGAATGTATTTCTGAGGTATTCTCAGGTGCACTGATTTCATCCAAGAGTAATCAGATAGGATTTGCAGGATAATAGGAGTGAAAAGGAAAGAGACTGCACATGATATTAGATACAGTGGAAACAATGTTTATTTATTTCACAAAATAATCAGAATAAGTGTTCATGAAGGATGTCACCTTTACGGGAGGTTTGAGAGCTCCCCGTGAAAAAGGAAACATTTTTGACAATCTACTGTAGAGCTGTTCCGGATTGAGAAAACATGGCATTATATATATTGAAATAATTATGAAACTGTATCCTTGAGATATAACTTTACCCACCAGTGGAAAAGATCACTGTCACAGTCTTCAGATTTACAGAAGTCTTTCCCTTCAGAAGGTATATGTAATACCTCAAGTGAATGACCCCTGGATAACCAGGACAAAAAGAGTTTAGCTATTTCCTTGACCAACATTCTGTGTTAAACCTATGCACCTGCATGTGTGAAAAATTTCAAAAACCTTATGTTAAACAAGAGGGTTATAAAGTTATAAATTTCCTGTACTGAAAATGTATTTCTGATAGGTACTTACCTTCTCTCACATAAATAGCTATTCTTGTTCAGTGCTGCCCTCTATATGCACAAATTTATTATCATGCATGCCACAAGCCTTCTGCCTCTCGTCCATTGGAAATGACTCATTACAATGTGTGTCTCGTGTAAATTATCATGCGACAACCCTCCACCAATGAGAGTGACACACACTCTCGTTACCCATGTGACTCCCTCTATTACATTCTACCAGACTATCACTTTGAGTTTTGGCAGAAAATGGAAGCACCAGTTTTCAATGGGGAGGAAAGGTGGGAAGTGTGAAATGAGGTAAGTACCTATTGGAAAAACATTTTCAGTCTAGGAAAATTATAACTTCTGATATGGTACATTACCTTTGCTCAGATAAATAGCTAGAATTCCACACTGAATAGGTGGAGGGACCAGTGTGAGTGAAGAAAAGAAGCATCCTTCAAAAGCGTTCAAAGACACACCTTGAGACGAGAGAGTTAGATTCGAAGATCTGATATGGGAGACCTCACCATTTCTGAACCAGGTATACTCTTTGGAGAAAGGTGTGGTATATATGGATGGAAAAACAGAGGAGCACATTCAAGTGGTGTTGGAAAAAACAATGGAAGTGAGCCCAGGTGTAGAATGGATCCAAAACCCATGCCGCTGAGAACTGATATCCATGCAGGGGTAGGATGAGTATCATACCGTCTTCACCTAAAGTTCAAGAAACCAGAGGGGATCTCAAACCCCCCTGACTATGGAACAGGGCACATGTTAAGAATAGAAAATGATATATCGATCTGGGAACCCGACATCAGGTATCGAAAATATATCTACCATAGAGAAATCAACTCCCTCAACAGTGAAACTGACCGGAACCAACCCAGGTGCAATAACATCCTTGGAATAAGATACATCAAGGGAGAGCAGAAGGGAAAGAACTGTAAGAATCCCAAGTACCTCCACTGTGACCGACGATGCAGATGGATCATAATTGAGGGAGGAAGATAGACATCTGTAATACATGTGTGAGGACTTATGTTAATTGGTTCTACTCTAAATCCAAAACCTGGCCACTAGGAACCAACATCCACGTGGGGGTAGGATGAGGGATCCCAATTGAAGGGGTGAACTGCATTTGACATATCACTCCTTTGGTTTTCATATGCTTTATAGTGGAGGATATCACATCATCTACACCAGCAGAACACCATTGCCCTGGACGAATGTCAACACCTGAGACAGTGCAATGGGTGACCACAAAACCCTGTTTTTAAAAGTAGACCATACCAATTTATTCAATACAAGGTATGGCAGGGATGGGCAGCTATCCCCTTCTGCTTTATGTATGTCCATGGGTGGTACAGTCTGGGACTGGCATACTTATGAAGCAATTTCATCATGAGGATAACATTCAAGTGATCTTGTGGAACATCCCATCTCAACTGCATGCATTGTGTGGCCATGGAACATAATAAGCAAGTCGACATGGCTGAACAGTGTGGATTTTAAAGGTTAAAGAATACCTGGTCAGGCACCACTTGCCACAGAGCAAGATCCAAACAATCTGTAATTACCATGAAAAGGGAAATAAAGCCCCTGAAAATAAATTAAAGAAGAAAAAAACCTACCCAGTCAAAGTTGCACGAAAGTCTGAAGAATGGCTACAGGTGGAAGATGATAACCCAAAGAGGAAGAAACTGTGATCCTATGCAGATAGTGAGAGACGAATATATTAGGAGTAGTCCACATGCCCAATTGAAGAAGTTCCTCTAGTGGACAAAGAAGATGAGATGCCAGAGGAAAAGTAAGGTGTCAAATTTCATGAGAAGACACCTGGGACAAAGTACAGGAGACGACAAAAGAGAGGAATAATCCAATCGAATTAAAAGCTGAACCCAACTGGAAGGAGAAAGATCAGGAACAGAGGATGTTTGCCAAGGGATAAAGAGGTGGGAATGAGCACCATGGATGGAAACCATGCAAGCAATGTAACAGTACAGGACATAGAAGTCTATCCAGATCAGGACGAGGATGAAGGTGGGAAATGGAAGTAAGGAAAGTCAGAGGAAAGGAGGAGTTACCCTCCCTAGCCACTGAGGTTTTGGGAAGGAAAGAACAATTTAGATAAAGCCATCAAAAAATGAGGATCAAGAGACCACTTCATTGGATAGATTTTGTCTGGACGGGAAAGACGATCCACAACAAGATTTAAAGCACCTGGAACATGACATGCAATGATAAGAGAGTACATGAAACATCAATAGCAAATAAATCAGACTGCCAACGCCCACAGGCTAAAAGGAAAAGGAAATTTGTTTTAAGGGAAAGGTGAAACAAGGAACACATGGAAAGTGGTTCAAATGGAGGCAATGGAGGACCACGAATCCAGAAGGAATGTATCAACAGAGAGAGTGTAGGACAGATAAATACCCGACAGTATCGAGAAAAACGAAAGGTGTGAGACAAAGCTGCCTGATAACTGGAAATTGAGGGGACAGAGGATCTGCAATCGAAAAGCCAAGTAAGAAAAAACTTTCAATTTATGCTGATAAACTTCCATGGAGAAAGGGTAAATGGAATGGGTGATAGGAAGGGTGGGATGAAGCACCAATGACCGAGGTTGCTTAATAAGGGAGGGAGACGGAGAAAGAGGTAGCTGGATAAGTCGAAAAAACCATGGCTGAGCTGGCTAGTAAGGAGCAATCAGAAAGACTTGACACAGAGTGGTATGGATG